CCAGGACGCAGATGTAGTTTATCGTCGTACCCAGGAGGCGGATGTAGTTTATCGTCGTGCCCAGGACGCGGATGTAGTTTATCGTCTTACCGAGGAAGGGGAATTGTTCGTACAAACTCTATTCTTTAGTTCTTTCCGGTTCAGACCATTTTAATGAAGACTCGTCACGCTCTGTCTATGGAGTCGAATCTCCCTAATTCTCCAAAGTTCTACTTCGCATTTTTCCCAAAAGAACCGCTGCTTTGTGGAACAGACTTCTACATGAATACTTCATTGAATGCTACAATCTTCAAGTCAAACGACAACCGTTACCTGTACTCCATATGTTCATATTCCTACTCTTACATTTATATACACACCGTAGTTAATAACCCTCTATCTTTAGCGGCTCTTTAGCCTTGCATTGAGTGAGCATTATAGAAAAATAGGACATTGCCTTGTCTTTTGCTGAATAAATTGTTGATGTCTATTGACAGTAATATCCTGTTATTTAGGTGACTGATTTTTAACATTTGTATGAAGTCGTACATATAGTTTATGCTGTATTTAAATAAGTAGTATTTAAATAAGTAGTATTTAAATAAGTAGTATTATGCTGTATTTAATCGTTAAGTGATCAGCCATTTTGGCTTCGTCACCGCCGTAAAGTTGCCTCCCTCTGCCTTTTCTATAAATATTTCCATGGCAACTATTCGGATGAAATCTTCGCTATCGTACCTAGACTTTATAAATTTAAGCGCAGTACGAGACTGACGGCATGGTCTCATTAATTTATAGTTGGTTTGGTTTGGTTTAGTTTGTTTTACAGCATATCAACTTTAATGGTGTATTTAATGCTGGCAAGATTTTTTTTGCTGGTAATGTTTTTTTTTCAAAAATGTATTGCTGGTAATATCTTTTTTTTTCAAAAATGTATTGCAGGTAATTATTTTTCAAAAATGTATTGCTGGTAATATTTTTTTTCAAAAATGTATTGCTGATAATAATTTTTTCTTAAAAAATTCATGGCTGGTAAAAGTTTTTCTAAAAAAAGTATTGCTGGTATTAAATTCTGTTTTTATACTTTCATGGTGTGTTGACCCCATTTTGCACGGTCAGCTATTTGCCCATAGCTGGGACCCTAACAGGTGCTACCACCCCGAATCAGGGTGAACCTGGGAATAACAGCAATTAAGTGGTGGTTCCACGCTCCCCCAAAACCTCCTGATCAGAGGCCTTGCTGTCCGACGTATTTTAACGTCTTACCCAGGACGCGGATGTAGTTTAGCGTCTTACTCTGGACGGCAATTAATAGTTGAGTTGGCTAGATGTAACCGCAAGTTCTATGCTAACAGCTTCTTTTCTCGCTCTTCTCCTTGTGTCGTGGTGGCTTTATTAGCTTGCTTGGGGTGAAATAGATTTTTTTAAAAGTATTCACGAGACAAAGATTTAAGCCCCGCGTGGTACCCGGATCGAGAGACACCCGGAAGAGCATAATAACTGAAATGTTGTGTTCATAAGAAGAATCATGGGGACATTAGTCTGAATATAAATAATGATAACTCTTTATCCCAGAAATTCAGACAGAAAAAAATATTAAATATTACTATGAAAATATTAAATAGGAGCAAAAAACCATAAAACACGCCAAATGACGACACCCTTATTAATTGAAACAACTACTTTAGTTTCCTTTCTTTCGCCATACAGTCAGTTTTAGACCCACTAGAGTGACCGGGTGTATCCAATTTCTATTTTTTTCCCTCGGATTAGGTTATTTGCAGCAGTGTGTAGTAATATGAATCTATTTTCAGGGTGTATGACGAAATTTGTTTCACCTTGAAAAATATTGCGTCATCCGTGATTGCATTTGATTTTTATCACACCAGACACTACTGTCTCGACTGTCGATTAGTTGTCCTACAGCCATCGTCTGCGATGGTTCGTAAAATTATTGACATATTAGTTGTGAGTTCATTCCATGGGTCAGGTAATGTAGCCTTTGTGGAAACTGAGAGTGCAATAACTTTACTAAATAAGACGAACTGATAATCAACGAAGCCGAGACGTTGTGCTAACATCAACAAAGATGAGGACAATAGTCCGAGTGTAAATAATGTAAATAATAAATAAATAAAAGTAAAGTTAACAATAAAAAATACTGGCTTTAATGTAGATTTGAAGATTGATGAAATATTCCTCACTTGCCACATGGCCAACGAAATTTAGATTAATGTTATTCTATAAATAATGCAAATAATAAATATAAATAATATGAATAAATATAAATAAATAATAAATGAATATAAATAAATACAATATAAACATAAATAAATATAAATAATAAATATAAATAAATAAAAATAAATAATAAATGAATATAAATAAATACAAAATAAATAAATATAAATATAAATAAATATAAATAATAAATATGAATAATATAAATAAATAATACATTAATATAAATAAATACAATATAACTAAATATAAATAATAAATATAAATAAATAATAAATGAATATAAATAAATAAATACAAAATAAATAAATATAAATATAAAAGAAATATAAATAATAAATATAAATGATATAAATAATTATGAATAAATAATAAATAAATATAAATTAATAATAATTGAATATAAATAAATAAATATAAAAATACAATATAAATAAATATAAATAATAAATATAATATAAATAAATATAAATAAATAATAAATGAATATAAATACAATATAAATAAATATAAACATGAATAAATAATAAATGTAAATAAATACAAATTAAATAAATATAAATACGTATAAATAATAAATATAAATATAAATAAATGAATATAAATATGAATAAATATAAATAATATAATTAAATATAAATAAATACTAAATGAATATTAAGCTTTGGTGATTGATGAGATATTCGTCACTTGCCACATGGCCAACAAAATTTAGATTAATGTCATTCTATAAGGATGTGCAAAAATGGATTAATCGATTCGTTTTTTACGTCTTACCAACCCTTTGCAAGAACAAGAAATATTTTTAGATTGTAAGAATTTTTTTGGCGATAATGCTATAAATTAATAACAGGGGTTTGCGCGTAGGTAAAAAAAAGATCCCAACGGGAAATGGAACTCGGCTCTCGGATTACCAATTCCGAGCAATAATCAATTACACCACCTGCACATCCAACTTTACAGGGCCTGGTTCAGAAATGAAGTTTATGCATTAAACTGACAGGATATTAAATTTAATGAGTAAACTTTATTTTGTATTTTATTTTCCTTCGACTAAGAAAATAATAGAATTAACTAAGAATGGAAAATGAAAGCGAAAGAATTTTAAAGAAAGGCTGGAAGAAATATAGACTCTTGTGAAAATTAATTGAAACAACTGCTTTAGTTTCCGTTCTTTTACAATACGGTCAGATTTAGACCCAGTGGGATGTATAATGAAATTTATTTGGTCTTGAAAAATATTGCGTCATCCATGACTGAATCAGATTTTCATCACGCCCAGACACTATTGTCTCGACTGTCGATTCGTTGTCCTACGGCCATATTCTGTGATGGATGTTACTGTAAGGAAACGTACGAAAATTTGTAACGCCGCACGAACACGTTGGCAAGCCTTACCAGTGAGCAAATCAAAGTACTATAGATTGGCCCAGAAACTCTCTTGATTTAAATCCAATCGAGAATCTGTGGTCAGTCTGCAAGGAACGACTTCGTGGAATGGTCATACGAAATACTAACATGTGCACTGGGTCATGTTTCATTGGAAAAATACTAAATAACTTGCATTGTACTTGGTTTACATATTTCGATAATTTTGTAAGTTTTATTTTAAATTATGAAAGATTTTCTTTTACATTCATTTCTTTATAAGATGGTAAATAACAAATCTTTATAAAAGCTACATAATTTTTATAATCTTGTAAATAACCATTGCCGAGGGAGTGGACGCAGTTAAAATAATAGCGGTGTCAATGGAAAAACCATCCTTTTGAAATACCATTTTTTTTTCGGGCACGAAGGTCCATGTTTGCCGTTAGTTTCATGAGTTAGTTAGCGCGTACGTTGCATTCTGCCGATGCCTAAAATTGAGAAACTATTCCGTTTTGATCGCCTCTGAATGTTGACTTCAATGTCCACTTTTATATTTATATTTACATAGGCTCTACCTCTGATATTGAGCACTTTATCGCATAAATATAGCTCACCTTAAAACTATATTTCTTCACATATATATATATATATATATATATATATAATCGAATATTATTGTTTTCAATTATTGTAATAAAAACAGAATTAGCAGTTTTAAATTTTAAAATTTGCCGGATATAAAAAGAGTTTATTCAAACATATATTCGGCCAAGTGCACTTCAATGTGATGTAATGTTTAGCAAGCTTGTCTCGCTAAATCATTTGCGACTAAATAGTGAATTCGATTCTCACTGGGTGCGCCATACGTTCAGCCTTGTGCCAAATCTAAGCTACGCTTAGAAAATCATTATACATTAGGCTAATAATATTTTTCTTCATGGCTCAATGCATGGAACTCTGAGTAGCATCAAGTGGTGAGGGACAAATATATAATTCTTCTTAGTAGATACAGAAATAGCAGGCATGATTAAGTATAATTGATAAAATTGTCAATAGACAATCAGCAAAATTCTCAATTAACAAAATAAAGTAAGAAAATAAGACACGGTAAAATAATACAAAGCAAACAATATATATATATATATATATATATATATATATATATATATATATATATATATATAAAAAGTGATTGAAGTCAACATCAGACAACAGGCGGTTTCATGCTGACGCAATCATCAGGCTGACGATTGTGTTCAGCATGAAACAGCCTGTCACCAATGAGTGTTGACTTCAATGTTCATTTTTATATTTATATTTACATAGGGTCTTTCTCTGATATTGAGCACTTTACCCCATAAATATAGTACACCTTAAGAGTATATTTCTTCATATATATATATATATACAGAGAGAGAGGGAGGGAGGGAAAGGGAGAGAGAGAGCGAGAGAGAGCGAGAGAGAAAGAGATATAAAAAAGAGGATTAAGATAGATAGATAGATAGATAGATAGATTTTTCATTCTGCATTCGGTTCCTTTTTACAATAAGCTTCAGCCTGTAAAAGGCCCAAAAGTCACTCAAAATAGAAGGTAAAAGATTAAGTTTTATGGAGAGATGAGGAAGATTACGGTTAGCCCTAGACCTGAATAGATTGATTGTAGTGATAGAGGAAGCATCCTCTTGGGAGTAGGTTTCACAAAGCAGCGGTTCGTGTGAAGTTACATCTCACCAATGGATTACGAAGAGAATGAGGGTGGTTCGCTACAATGGGCGTGGCATGGCGGGTCTTAGCCGGAAGGTAAGAACTGGTGGGTGGAACTAAGGATTGTAGTCCGTCTGAGCACTTTCCATGGAAATAGCGATAGAACAGCAAGAGACTCGCGCCGTTTCGTCTGTGAGGAAACGGGTGGTAGGGTGGAAAATAATTCATCACCCACAAGGACGCGGAGATGCTTTTATCGAGACTGGAAAGTGCAGACTCGGCATCCCCTGTTCATAAATAGCAGCACTGCTCCATCATTATCCAAATAGTTAAATTTTCATAAACACTTCATCCTTTCGGTTTACACGCGCTTTTCCAACTCGCCAAAAATTTGGATGGCACATGATATGCATGCTGATTCTTTCAACTCTCTTATTTTTCCCGTTTCTATTAATCACCACAGAGATCCTTCCCTGTCCTCCATTAGAATGTCTGACGCTCAACTTCTCGAGAGCACCTCTCTGCGCCTGCTCGGTCTCACGTTGACGGCTGACCTGAGATGGAACAAATACATTGAGTCAATTGCTTCGTCCACCGCAAGGAAAGTTGGCTCCCTGTGCCGCGCCAGGAAATTTTTCTCCCCGGAATCGATCCTCCAGATCTACAAATCAACAATTCGCCCTTGCATGGAGTATTGCTGCCATATATGGTCTGGAGCCCCTTCTGCTTGCCTCTGGGTTCTTGATAGGCTCCAGAGGTGGATATGCAATATAATTGGCCCTGTTCTGGCATCTCGTCTACAGTCACTTTCTCAGAGACTCGCCGTCGCCTCTCTCTGTCTGTTTTACAAATACTATCATGGCAATTGCTCGGAGGAGCTGCATTCGCTGGTTCCCAGACTTCATGAATTCAAGCACCCTACGAGGCTGGCATCCCGCTCTCACCCCTTCACTGTCGAAACTCCTAAATGTAGCGGTCTCTTCTACTCCAATAGCTTCATATCTCGCACCTCTCGCCTGTGGAACTTCCCTATAATCTCCAGCTATTCAAGTGTAATGTCAATCGATATCTCCAGTTGTCTTGATCTATCCACTACCCTTCTCCTCATCCTTTCTTCTATCACTCCTATCTGATCTTGCTCCAAATTTTCTGTAACCCCTTGCGTCCTAGTGGCTTCCCGCTTAAAAAAAAATGTCTGTCCCCAGCTCTAATTTTGATCTTCGGCATGCTCAATGGTCTACCATCGCCCTAGACATATGACCAGCAATGTCTGTTTCCCTACAGACAAGAAAGTTTTCCAAATATCGAAAAAGTAAAAGCTTTGTATTGATTCTCTTCCATATGTCTCCTCTTAATTGTGCCCTGCGGTAAGCGTCTGGCTGTCTGTAAATGAAGCGTCAGTGAAATACTTGATTATATATTCCAACTCCCATGCTTCGAGACCCATGTCGGATTAATGTGTTAACGCAAATCATTAGGCACTGGATTCATGAGTTTAGATTAAAATATAGCAACTAAATAGATCTTTTCTGACTCACTTATTATACACCTACCAAATCTTGTAAGCATTTGTGATTGACAAAAATACAAAGAGACAAATGTGGAAAACACGATTTAATCAAAAGGGGGTAAGGTTAAAAGAAGATCGGACTATAGGAGTGTAACTGGAGAATTGTTTGATGACGAGAAACCAAATAGAAGAATTGAATGAATCATTATACCAAAACCTGGTCCTAACAGAGGATCAGATTACAGGAATTTATGTTCTACATTGATAGAAACGAAAACATAATTGTAAATCTGACGGTAAAGTTTCTATTCAAATAAAGCTCGGATAAATAAATGGTCGGAATTAAACCTTTAGAATGGATTAAGAGAGAGACAAATGAATATTGAAAGAAGTTCTGTCGTCTTGAGCGCGTGGGATATGAACCCACATACGTCATGTTTAAAATACCAATTGCTTTCTAAAATCTGTTCTAGTTATTTTCTTGATAAGAAAGAATAGCTAGCTAACTTGCCAGATAGATAGATAGATAGATAGATAGATAGATAGATAGATAGATAATGAACACAGACAGGGATAGATAGATAGATAGATAGATAGATAGATAGATAGATAGATAGATAGATAGTTAGATAGATAGGAAGAATGATGAAAAGACAGAAAGAATATATGATAAATATAATAAAAGGATGCCAAAAAGGATACATAAAAGAAAGAAAAAGAAGGAAAGAATGATGAATGCAAAGAAAGAAAGAGAAAAATAAATAATAAAATAAAAAACGATAAATACGAATAAAGAAAGGAAGAAAGAAAGAGTCATAAATGCAAAGAGAGAAAGAGAGAATGATAAATAAAAAAGAAAGAAAATGGGTAAAAAGAAAGAAAGAAAGAAAGAAAGAATGAATGAATGAATGATAAATACAAAGAAAGAATGAATGAGTGAAAGAAAGAATGATAAATAAAAAAGGATAAATACATAGAAAGAATGATAAATGAAAAGAAAGGAAAAGGGATAAATACAAAGAAAGAAAGAAAGAAAGAAAGAAAGAAAATGAATGACTGATTAATACAAAAAGAATGAAAGGAAGAAAAAGGAAGAAAAAAGAAAATTAAATGCAAAGAAAAACAGAATAATAAATAAAAAGAAAGAAAATGGATAAAAACAAAGAAAGAATGAATGAAATGAATGAAAGATAAAGGCAAAAAAGAAAGAAAGAAAGAAAGAAAGAAAGAAAGAAAGAAAGAAAGAAAGAAAGAAAGAAAGAATGGGAGAATGGTAAGTACAAAGAAAGAAAGAAAGAAAGATAAATAAAAAGAAAGGAAAAAATAAATACAAAAGGAAAAAAGTAAGAAAGAAAAAATGCAAAATGAAAAGAAAGGACAAAGGATAAATAGAAAGAAATCGTGAAAGAAAAAGCGAAAAACGAACGAATAAAAGAAATATAGAAAGAAAGGAAAAATGATAAATGTAAGAAAAGAAAGAGAGAAGGATAAATAAACAGAAAGAATAAAGTTTAAATCCAATGCAAGAAAACAAATAAGAAAAAGAAAGATAAATAAAAAGAAACAAAAAAGATGAATAAAAAGAAACAATGAAACAATGAAAGCAAAAAGAAAGAAAAAAGGATAAATACAAAGAAAGAAAGAAAGAAAGAAAGAATGGGAGAATGGTAAGTAGAAAGAAAGAAAGAAAGAAAGAAAGAAAGAAAGAAAGAAAGAAAGAAAGAAAGAAAGAAAGAATGGGAGAATGGTAAGTACAAAGAAAGAAAGAAAGAATGGGAGAATGGTAAGTACAAAGAAAGAAAGAAAGAAAGAAAGAAAGAAAGAAAGAAAGGAGGGAAGGAAGGAAGAATGATAAGCAAAAAGAAAGAAAAAAAGATAAATACAAAAGAAAGAAATTGACGATGAAAAAAATAATAAAATAAGTCATACCATGCTCTTCAACATGACATTAATTGTCTACAGTTTGCAAGATCTGAATTCGGAATATGCATTCATAGTTTTTATTTTAACCTCGATAATTCTCCCAACGTCTTTCAGCAGGTTGAGCCAAAAAACAGCCGACATTTTCTCAGTGCGCATAAATATATTATATTTGAAATTTGGTATGTCATCCATTGTTGATTCACTACAATGCCATCGGAGCTTCGTGAAAAGGTGTCTAGACATGTTATTTGGCATACAAGTCTTAGAAAAGCATCAGCCGATGGCGATCTCTAAAACGTTCTAGTCGGAGTCTTACAATAAACTCATAGGAATTGGCGTTCCTGTCGGCAGCCATTCGACCAGACGTCAAATATTAAATCTCCGGTAAACACGATTTTTATTTCTAATGTGATAGAATCGTGCAAACTCTTCTGATTCATACAGACGCGAACAAATGTCGTTCTTCGTCGAATCTGGAAGTGGAGATCTTTTATAAATTTAATAGGGGTTAGTGCAAGCATCCATCATATTTAAAATGCGCTCACAGTGGAAATTTGGAAAGACGCAGGTGAATAATTTATGCAGTCATAATATTATAGATGAGTGCGTTAGAAGAGCAGATGGATGCATCAGGATGATGTTAACATATTAGATAATAAACACTGTATTAGAGAAGCGTATTCATGGACATTTGAATATCACGATAGATAGATAGATAGATAGATAGATAGATAGATAGATAGATAGATAGATAGATATAAAGAGGCGTAGATAGATATATAGATGGCTAGATGGATATGAACAGCAATAGATAGATAGATAGATAGATAGATAGATAGATAGATAGATAGATAGATAGGTGAACAGCATAGATAGATAGATAGATAGATAGATAGATAGATAGATAGATAGATAGATAGATAGGAACCACATAGATATGAACAGACATAGATATGAACAGATGTAGATAGATATGTAGTTGGCTCGATAAATATGAACAGACGTAGATAGATAGATAGATAGATAGATAGATAGATAGATAGATAGATATGAACTAACATAGATATGAACATAGATATCAACAGGCGTAGAAAGATATATCGATGGCTAGATAGATATGATCAGAATAGATAGATAGATAGATAGATAGATAGATAGATAGATACGAACAGAATGAAATAGATGGAAAGATATGAACCGGCGATGATATATATATATATATATATATATATATATATATATAGTATAATAGTAGATAACACAGATACACACACACACACACACATATATATATATATATATATATATATATATATATATAAAAGATGGCTAGATAGATATGAATAGGCGTAGATAGATAGATAGATAGATAGATAGATAGATAGATAGATAGATAGATAGATAGGTGAACAGCATAGATAGATAGATAGATAGATAGATAGATAGATAGATAGATAGATAGATAGATAGATAGATATGAACTAACATAGATATAAACATAGATATCAACAGGCGTAGAAAGATATATCGATGGCTAGATAGATATGATCAGGAATAGATAGATAGATAGATAGATAGATAGATAGATAGATACAAACAGAATGAAATAGATGGAAAGATATGAACTGGCGATATATATATATATATATATATATATATATATATATATATATATATATATATAGTATAATAGTAGAAAACACAGATACTCACACACACACACACACACACATATATATATATATATATATATATATATATATATAAAGATGGCTAGATAGATATGAATAGGCATAGATAGATAGATAGATAGATAGATAGATAGATAGATAGATAGATAGATATGATCAGGAATAGATAGATGGATGTAACTGAATATTACGTGGATGGTTGAAATCTACACATACAGTTAAAAACTAAAAATTAAAAAAAAAGATTCTTGATAATGGCTAACAGAATAGCCGAAAGCGCTTGGAGATATAGGACATTCAGACAGTTTTAAAATATTTTAAATCCAGTAAAGAAATCACTTGCACGAAGAAAAGAACAATGAATAAAATACTTAATCACTGTACCTTGTCACTGGTCTTAAATCCTAGAACACTAACCATAAATTAAAGTTACACCACGACTAACCACGGGTATATCATACCCGATTTTGAAAATATCAAAAGAAATATTAAATATAAATCTTTATTTGAAATATTTTCCATGCAGGCACTTCAACCTTTGAGTTAACATTAATAGGAACTGAAAATCATATCATTTACGTAAGAAAATCAGGTACTGAAAAATGTAATTAAAAATAGGAAAATTTGCGCTGGGTACTATATACCCATGGTTAGTGTTCAAGGATTAATGAAACTTGTATAAAATATATATATACATACCCCGTGGAACTGATTCCTGTCTGGGTGTTTACGCGATCAGTAAAATCTTAACCTGTTCAAGGCTAGGGTTAATCGTTATCTTTCACTCCTATACACGCAAACGACCTCCAGACGTAACACTCTACCTAGTTGTGAGTTCAGTATCAGGCTACAGCCGTGGCGAACCAAAAAATCGTGAAGAGATGAGTTAAAGGGAAATAACTGGAACATCTGGAAGAGGCATGGCACGTCGAACCAGAACATTCTACCCCGGTGGACGAAATAAAGGGTACGGTTCGAAATTTCAATCACCTGAAGAAGGCCGAAGCGTACAACGGCCGAAACGTGGTGAATATGGCACTGAAGATGAGGATGAGAGTCCGAATAATGTAAATAATGTAAAACTGAATTTATTTTCAGAAATTATATAATAAAAATATAATTTCGAAAAATAAATTCACATTTATTATAAATCAAAATCGGGAAGACGGGGGTCATGAGGGCAAACAACAGACAACAAGACCCAGAGCGACTATACCGATAAGACAACAAGAAAGTCGATAAGTTTGTCTACCTGGGAAGCGTCGTTAGTAAAAAAGGTTGGGGGGGGGCATAGATGAAGGCATCAAGTGCCAAATCAACAAAGTCCGACACGCTTTCAACACTCTGCGGCTAACCTAGAGGTCAGCAGTCCTCTCACTTTATAACGACCATCTGTGGAACAGGACCAGACAAGCCCCAATCTGCGGCCAATGTGGAGATCAACAACCCTCTCACTTTACAACAAGATCCGGATCTTCAACACCAATGTCATGTCGGTCCTACTTTACGGCTCAGAAACCTTGTGGGTAACGAAGACCAACACCCACAAACTTCAGACATTTACCAAGCGATGTCTCAAGAACATCGTCAATATCAGGTGACCGAAAGTCTCCAACGACCAACTGCGGGACAGGACCAGACAAGCTCCAATCTGTGGCCAATCTGGAGATCAACAACCCTCTCACTTTACAACAAGATCAGGATCTTCAACACCAACGTCAAGTCGGTCCTAGTTTATGGCTCAGAAACCTGATGGGTAACCAAGACCAACAGCCACAAGCTTCAGCCGGAACCGCGTCTATTGGAGAGGTGTTAATGCGGCCCTATGTTTCCCAAGGAATCAAGAGGTTTACCAGACCCGGTTACGGAAATAGGACCTGTTACAATTCTCTGGGACTACACAATACACACTGACAGAACAATCAAAGCCAAACGCCCAGATATTGTTATTAAAGACCACAAACAAAAACGGTGCCTCCTTATTGATATGGCAGTCCCAGCTGACTGCAATGTATCTTTGAAGATATTCAAAAAGTTGTCAAAGTATAAGGACCTTGAAATAGAAATTTCGAAAATGTGGCATATGGGAACATCAACAATCCCTGTTGTAGTTGGAGCCCTGGGACTGGGTGGAAAAGATTGCAGTAGACTAATTGAAGGGATTCCTGGAAGTCCATGCCTCAAGGAGATACAAAAAATTGTTCTGACAAGTACAGCCCACACCTTACGAAGGGCTTTATCTATGTAATTTAATTTTTTTTTTCTTTTTTTTTTTTTGTCAGTGGAAAATGTCATGACGCCATTTCTAACCTTAGGTCACTGGGCGGGACCCGGAAAGAAATGTGTAAACGCCAGAAATCAAAGAAAATAATAATAATAATAATAAAGTCTTCTGAAGAATGGATGTGATTCCGCCTAATTTAAAGTAGAAAAATGAGAATCAATATTTAACTTTGCTAATTCTTATTCATGCATTGCTTGCCTTGCAAAACGTTATTTGCCAGAAATCCATTCGTTGAACGGCTTTATTTTTGGTGAAACAATATTAACAAGTTAAATATTTATATATGTCTTCAATTACCCATCATTTCATTTTTGTTATTTGATTTAGTGGTATCATAAATATTAAATATAGGCGGTTACGTTTATAATTAAATTTAATTTATTGTTGTTTGAATATTCTTACATTCATACGTTTACACACATACAAATATACGCATATATACATATACATATATATCTACATATAAAAACATAGGCATAAATGCACGCACACGTGTATCTGCTCATTTACATTAATTATTTAATTAGTTTATATTAATTAATATTAAGTATCATGTTTTATTTGACGTGTACTTCCTCAAAGAACCCTAAATATATCAAACTCTCATATTGTAACCAGAGGCATGTTAACTTCAAACAGGTGTGAAAATCATACAGAACCTCTTTCTTTCGTACCAATATATTTCCTATGGATCGTAATAAAAAAAATAAAATTAATCATCTATTATGCAAAATACAATACAGCGAATTAATTTAATTATTCGCAATAACACCTCTCCCCCCCGCCACCAACTGATGTATTACGTAAGACCAACATTATATATCAATTCAAATGTCCCTTGAGAGAATGTAACTCAGAAAAATAAATATATACATGTTGCATATACGACAGCTACATTATCAAGACATCTTACTCTCCACATGTCTAAACGTTCGTCTATTGTGAGACATTTACATCAACATTCCTGTCCACATTCACAGTATAGAAAAATATTTATTGATAGCACAACTATCCTACGTCAACATACAT